TAAACTTAAAGATAATTTGATTAGTAGCTGAAGTATGGCATGTAAACTTTACATACAAAGTTATTATATAATACTTGCTCAATTAATTTGCCAAGCTTAAAAAGAAAATGACATAAGGAGAAAATATTCTCATCTTTGAGGCTGAAACGTCGTCAAACCATATTACGTTTCTGCGAGAAAAACTCTTTACTTATTATTTGATAGATTGTTTAGGCAGGGTAATCATGATGAGTACATTGGAATGGGCAGCAACTACTTGTTGTAGAAAAAACTCAAGCGAAAAGGACGATCTAACAGTTCTAGGCAGGGTAATCATGATGAGTACATTGGAATGGGCAGCAACTGCTTGTTGTAGAAAAACCTCAAGCGAAAAGGACGATCTAACAGTTCTAGGCAGGGTAATCATGATGAGTACATTGGAATGGGCAGCAACTACTTGTTGCAGAAAAAACTCAAGCGAAAAGGACGATTTAACAGTTCTTTAATTACTTCATTAAATCATAGTTTTTCTTTAGGATAACTTGATTTCAATTGAAAGCATTTTTGAAACTATCACTGAGATTAGTTTTAACCTTTAAAAAATGAGTACTTTGACAAAGGAGAATTATTATTAAAACAAATACTGATGTTAATATAAAAAATTATTTTTTGCCTGTTAGCTTTCTTACCTTGAAAGATATTTTGTCCTGAATTAAGCCCATAAGTACTCTAAGAACAACGTGAACAAATCCAGATATAGAACCCGTTGTGGCTAGAAAGGCGTCATCATCTATAAATGTTTGTCCATATATCTAAAAATATGGTGATATAATTTATTAAATTAATAACGTTCATAAACTCTTTCATAATACTCAGTCTGATTCGTACATATTTCAGATTTTCCTATACACTAACTAATAAGTACTCATATCTTGTGTGGAACTGTTTCAGTTCCGTCCGTTTTCAGGTTTAAACTAACTTTAGTACTGTAGTTGTAGAAGGCAGATGTCCTACCATCCTGTAGGGAAACACACTACAGCTACAATAGTCTGACATATTAAACAGTGCTGAAGAACGAAAAGGTAATTGTTTCGTTCACTTTAAAATGTATATATATATTAATTATAAATAGAAAAAGGTTTGATTTGATGGCAACACATCTTTAATAACAAAAGGATAATATACTTATTAAAGTGCTCAGATAAATTCGATACAGCTTAACATAGTTTACATATTTTGTACTCGTTAATTTTTTATAACAGTCTCGTCAATGGAAAGTAAATGTTTTGTGGGCTCACATGGGTTTTCTGTGTCAGATAAAAATATAGTAAACTGTACTGGTTCCTCAACATATGTATAACAAATTATTTGTCATGATACAGCATGTTCTGGTTTATGTTATACATTAAATAAAACTTTAAAATGTGGCTGAACAGGACTTGCCGGATCATATTTCTCTTTCTTGTAAGTAAAAAAATATGTTTTTTGTAACACATAGATTTGTTTCTTCTAGATAAAACCCACATTGGACTATCTGCAGTGTCGACTGAAGGGATTCAAAAAAGAATTCTATGTCCGTACAATTACCGTTGGACCAGCTGGTCTTTCATCTGAGAAACAGCTTCTCTTTCACGAATGCAGAGAAAGTTAGGGGGGTATTATGGGGGGATGATTTCACTAGGATTATCCAACAAAAGTCTTGCTCTTGGATGACAAAAGTAGACCACTGTCCTTTACTTTGATGTTAATATGAGAATATCAGGAGAAACTGTTAGATTACCTAATCCTGGGTTCTTATAAAGAAGATGATTTTTTATTTAAGCTTTAGTCTGACAAAGATTGAACGAAGAGAAAATGTCCTCCTAGTTTTATAGAAAGTTATAACCTGGTTGCCACTGTGCACACTGACCATGGAGCACTACAAGGGATCCTACTACACAGTTAAAATATCAAAATGATGAGAGCAGTGCAATGGCTCAGGAGTAAGTCTAAAGATTATAAATTATAATGCTACAAATTGGGTTTTGATAGCCGTGTTGGGCACATCACAAATACCTTATTTTGTGGCTTTGCATTTAACAACAATGAATGAATAACACCACCAGGATTTCGTTGGTAAATCACTCGTACCAAACAGTATGTGAAATATATCTAATGTTATTACTCAGTTCATCCTAGCAATTGTTGACCGCTTGATTGACCCCAAGGGTGTCAACCTCAGGACCGTCATGTACGACAATTCGATGCCAAAATATCAAGTATCATTGAATTAACAGGATCCTCTTGTACTAGTCACGAGTCTTTACATCTGTTAAACATGTTAAGTAGTATTATAAAGAGTTTCAGCTTCTGTACTTCTTTCTTTCTAGTCCTTTTTGGTATATAATCTAGAATACGGACAGGAGCCATTGCAGTTGAGAGAATGTATTTCTAACTCCCCCTTGTTGTTATCATGTTTCATGTCATTGAACTTAGTGCAGACTAGAAATGTAAAGTAAGCTGTATAGATTGTTTAAGATACATAGGTGAAGAGCGTATTTCACATATCGAGCCCGTAAACAAATAGTTTAGCATAGTGATGTAAAGGTTAAAATGAGAAGCCCATCGACTCAGATCTTCTATTATTCCATGTTTAGTTAAACAGCTGATACTCATTGACTGGAGAGTTCAAAAAGAAATTTGATTCTGGAATGTTTAGAAGATTCCTCTTGGCTATAACTCTTTCCAGTTACAAACTGTGTACAGTGACTTCATTGGATATTTCCATTGGACTTAAAGCTCATTTCATATTTAAAGGATGCTAGTGCTTAGTTGATTATTGCCACAACCTAAATTAATCTGCAGAAACAACCTCAGCCTACAGGATTTCAAGGTTAAAATATTGGGCCAAGCACCACTCATACACTAGGACCCCCTTTCATGTATCAACACACGGGAGAAATATTTGGACCCCCAGGGAAGGGAAGGTGCAGAGGCAAAACATTTTCTGGAATACCTTTCACCTGAGACAGGAAGTTAGTCGAGAGAGGGGGTGGAGGGCCCGGCATGGCCAGGTGGTTAGGGCGCTCGACTCGCAATCTGAGGGCCACGGGTTCGAATCCCCGTCACACCAAACATGCTCACCCTTTCAGCCGTGGGGGAGTTATAAAGTGACGGTCAATCCCACTATTCGTTGGTAAAAGAGTAGCCCAAGAGTTGGCGGTGGGTGGTGATGACTAGCTGCCTTCCCTCTAGTCTTACACTGCTAAATTAGGGACGGCTAGCGCAGATAGCCCTGGTGTAGCTTTGCGCGAAATTCAAAAAAACACAAAAACAGAGGGGGGTGGAGGACTGTTTGATTATTACAAAAGATAAACAATATTTATAAAATGTTAACTACTGTACACTGTTAGTTAATCCCCCACTGGTTGGCTGATTATATGTTCGCAATGGTGTTTACTTTTTTCAGAATAAAATGGCAAAATTTTATTTCTCTCTTATTTTTGTATTATGTTAAGCTTCAAGATAACTTGTAGTTGCAGCTTCAGTTTTAAAGCTTATGATAGAGCATTGTTTGACATTTGAAATAACAGCAGGTAATCAGCGAGCCCCAACAAATTAATACTGATCTACTTTATTTTGTGAAATTTCTTAGAAATAATGGTTCGTAAATTTTGTGGAAAAATTGTTCTATTTTGAACACTGGCTATGAAGAATACTTAAGTATATCATTAATATATTAAGTATATTATTATTATTATTATTAAGTATATTATTATTATTATTAAGTATATTATTATTATTAAGTATATTATTATTATTAAGTATATCATTAATATATTAAGTATATTATTATTATTAAGTATATTATTATTACTAAGTATATTATTATTATTAAGTATATTATTATTATTAAGTATGTTATTAATATATTAAGTATATTATTATTAAGTATATTATTATTATTAAGTATGTTATGCTTTAATAATCAAATGACAAATTCTTTGCAATTTCTTAACATTTTAAATTAATTTAGAAACTAAATCAAAATACTTTCAGTAAAAACAGTAAAATGTAAAGCATATTAATATGAAAAAACACGCCACTTGCCTTATAAAAATTACTGACAAACGTTGAAGAATGTAACGAACCAACGCACGTTATCAATAGAATATAAAATTCTTTCATTCTCAAAGCTTCTTTTGGTACCACACAAAATTCCCTTGGAAGTGATGGTTGTGTTTCTTCTACTTCCTGATTGGTTGAAGTTTCTTCTGACATCACAAAAGAGTCTTCTTGAAAGGCTAATATACAGGTCTTGTCTTCACAGTCCGATTCTCTTTGTGCTGATGCAGAAGACCTTTCAACTTCTTTCTCCTTTAAAGATATGTACAGCTTTTGTAACTTTAAAAATAATCAATATTTAGTTTCAGTGATGCACAATATTTCTCGTTCTGTTTTGATGTATACTCGAGAAATATTGAATACTAATAAATTTCAGGTTTTTAGAAATCTTTCTTTTACCACATTTGCACACTACACTTTCTGTGGCAACATTAAAGAAAAAAAACTTTTCTATATAAAATGTATACTTTCTGGATTGTGCTTGAGGTGCTATGAAGTGTGAGTTAGTGTTATTAATTATAACTTTTAAGTAAGTATAAACAGTTTTGAAATGTAATATGTTGATTATTTAGTTTATTCTACTATAGCCATGACATTTTATCATTTTATACATTATTGGCATTTAACAATGTAATGGTCACACATATATATATATATTTAAATGTTGCGACAATATAAATGTACGTTTAAGAACGTAAGCTAGAAAGTGAAGAATATATATAACAATATGTCAATCACACTATATCTATTATATCATGTATTGACGACGCCTTTCTCCAAATACCAGAGCTCATCAGATCAGCTGGGATAAAATAAACGTATTAGTGATTAATACGCTCTCTCTCTCTTTCTATATATATATAACCAAAATAAACGAACAACAACTGTTGTGGTGTGAAATAGATTAAGTTACTCTGCTGTGAACGAGGGTGTTGATGTCGTCTACTTCTAGTGATAGGAGGAAGAGTATCTTTTCTAATCTAATCTAAATATTTTCAACCTTTAGAGAGCTATAACACTCAATTGGTTTAGCATATAGTATTTTAAACTATTTTAGACTTCAAAATACTTTGTTTTGAAATTGGTTGGTTTTGTGCACCTTCTTTGCCTTTTTTGTAGGCACTTATGTTGGTGTCATTTCCAAAAAATTATCAAATATCTATGAAAAAGAGAGACAAAGAGGAGATCACCCAAGCTTATCTATCATGGACCTTGGTTTTTTCATCAATGGAACTTACTGAAGAAACGGACACTAATATAATTTAAGAATATTTAGAGAGGTACAAATGAACTGATAAAAACCTATGAGGCTTTTGACCTTAACACAAAGTTTACCACTATCACTGAAGAAAGTGACCATATGTATCAAATTCCTTGCAGTTGTTTCTGTTTGTACCTACTACATTAGAGATTATTCTTTGAGAGACTTATCCATTTCCATGCAACAAGTAGTATAAGAGGAGGATTTATTTTTTTACTGCCATCTATCATTTTAAGGGAGCTATTTCAAGAATTTGGGCAGGGACTGATTGGAGAGGATTCGCGTGCCCAGGGGTACCTCGTGCTGACAGGAGAACATGGTTCATATAAGTGTGTTAGATTATTCAATCTCTGAAGAGAAAAGGAAGAATTGGGTAGGGTTGATAAGTCTTAGATATCAGTAGAATTAGTACAGAGTTTGATGGAACTTGCAGCTAAGCCTAATTGCTTTAAATAGATATGATTATTTCCTTTGTCACAACGTAAGATATGATATTCAACATTATGATGTGCACCACACCTTTTTCATATTTCCACTTAGGACATTTTGAGTAAGATGTATGAATTGTGTAGAGTTTACGCATAGTGATTTTCTGCTACAGATGTTAGAATCAGTATTCACACAAGCAAACATGTCACACGTAAGGAATTCAGAACAGGAAGTATTGTAATGTCTGAATCGCTGACATCTGAAACATCTGAATTGGATGTAGAATGTAGGGTGAGAATGACTAACCATTTTAATATGGAGGTATTAGTAGTGACATCTTGCTCCTCTAAGCTACCAAAATATATCAGTAATTACTCTCGTGATGAAGTTTAAGATGTTATAGGTGGATGATCTCATTGAGGAGTTTTCTGGAGAACCCTGGAAACTAAAAGGATATATTAGCTGCCGGCTTGGATGTTACAATAAGTAGCTCTCGCCACTGGCAAAATGTTTTAACAGACTTAAAAAGTCAGTGACCTTCTTCAAGCCCTTAAAGATAAAGAAAGATGATGTTTTATCTAAACGTTTGTCTCACAGGAAATGCTTGATATGAAAGACAAAAGTGTACCATTACAATAACTTATTTGAGCTGTAGTAGTAGAATATTTAATCTAGTGTCTCTTCCAGTCTCTTGCAAGATTTCTAACGTTTTGATTTTCATGACAAAATATTAATATTCGGTAACCACTGACCCTATAAATGGAGTTCTACAAGGGAATGCTACATCAATATCATGTTTTACTGACTACAAAGAAGTAACAGTAAGAGGATAAATTCAGTAAAGGTGTTTCATCACACATAGCCACTATTGACCAGCTGAATGACCCTGAATAACCCCATGTACTTCAAGGACTTTAAGTTCCAAGTAGTGTGTTGTAATAATCCAAATATTACCTAATTCAAGTGGCTATCAATTGTCACGTTTATCTTTCCACTTTCATGGGAAACATGTGGGTGTATATTCACAACCCATAGGAGATAAACTGAACAAGGAGAATCTTCCCTTGGAAATCCACATATACGATGAAGATGAATATACATCGTGGTAGAATTTCTCTTTAAAACAACAATGTAAAACCCAATACTGAAAAAGAAAAGCTACCAGTTCATATTTTAACTTTACATCATCAGGTACATTAACATTATAAAAAGCAATATTTGGATAAAGCTTCTTACCTCAGGTATCTCTGAGGGAGGTTCCTTGTACAGAAGTAGTCCAACAAGTAAAATACCACCTTGTACAGCTCCCATGATTGCAAATAAGAAAGGGACACGATCCAGAATTACAGACTCGGAGAAATAACTAAAAACAGCATACAGAAAGTAAAGTAACCATTCTAGTTAATTTGGTGTTAGCAGCAAATAGCACTTTTCAGTTATCAAGAACGGGTGATCTTCTAACAATGTAAATCACAATATATTGTAATATCTGTTATTTCACTTATGTTACTCGTTCTCCATTATGCTTAATTAATTAAATACGGATTTTGAAATTAATCAAAAATATCCTTGTAAGAGACATAAAAAATGACGTAAAAAATTCAATTATTTTCATTACAAAAAAGATAATGTAATAGTAATATTTTTATTTTGAGAGAGGAAAAGAAATTAATTAACATTTGTACATTTCTCTTTAGATGATAGAACCTCTCATATCTTTATTATAACAATATCCATGTTTCACTTTATTGATAAATTCCTGGTTGTATCCATGGTTGGAATTACTGGTGTACTTGGTTGGATGAATTAAGTTAAGAATAATTTGCTTTATTTATATAACCATTGTTGGATTTACCAAAATAATCATTGTTGTCTGTATTAATGTATCCAAAGTTGGCATTATTTGTGTAATTGGTTGGATTGATTAATCTATGAACGATTGGCTTTATTAATATAACAATTGTTGGATTTACTAAATATTCATTGTTGGCTTCATTAACGCATCCATGTGTCAAGTTGTTATGGACCGAATTCTTTACAGTAGGTGTCCGTGAATTGTTGGCGATACATTTCAACAATAAACGGATAGCACACAATCCACTTCTTTCAAAATAATATACTCAAAACAAGTCAAACGTATATTCAAAATATTCGTTGCATCTGTTGTATCTGGAGCTTTGAATTAATTGTCTTTTCTTCGTCAAAGTCAAAGCTAGGTATACACGACTGTTCATTTTAAGTTTAGCATGAGAGTATTATTTAGCTTATATTGTGTGAGTATAAAAGTAAGTTAAGTTATTCAAAGTGAAAGTAAAAGTGAAGTTAGTCTGCATGTGAGTTTAGCTGTAATGGACGATTTCACTGCTTGTATTGTAATAACGATATTTAAAGCTCTGGATGCAACTGTGGTAACCATCAGTTATAGGTGATTTTAAAGTTTGTATCGCAGCTTTGTATAGCAACAACAGAGTTAGAGGAACATAATTTGCATTGTATTGTTAAAGGGGGTTGTAAAGTAATTGAAACTGCCTGTATGGACTTTGAGAATTATTTAAAGCTCTGCATACAACTGTGATAATCGATAGTGTAACAAAGTTTTGTACATATATTTGACTTCTTTTGAATATGTTATTTCAAAACAAATGGACTGTAAGCTGTTTGTTTATTCTTGAAATTTCTCACTAAAAAGTCACAGATACCTACTTTAAAGAATCGTGGCCCAATAAAAACCTGACATTTATACAGTGGTAAACGTTGGTAGAAGAAGACGTGAACAATAGCAGAGTAGGCCTATATATATATGCACAACTCTAATGGTGGCGTAGATCTTACAATCACACTATATAACCATGTCGGCTGATTTTGATAAATAGATAGAGAGAGTTGTGCGACTTGGGCTAAAAGGTATCGATCTACTAAAGTTTATTGAACAACAAGAACAAAATATATAGAGAGAAGAGCGACAATAGGAAGAAAGCCTGGAAGCAGGAAAGAAAATAGAGAGAATAATAGCACAACAAGAGAAAGAAGAAAATGAGATAAAGGAGAGACTGGAAATAGAGAGAATAAGAATGCAAGTTGAAAAAGAAGAAAAGGAGATTAGATATAGAGAGAATAAGATCACAAGTTGAGATCGCCAAGTTCAGCCAACAGAAAGACAAAGGACCCAAGTATAATAGTGGGGTCAGGGCCAGTCGACTCAAGCTACCCAAATTTGATGACCAGAACGATCACTGGATGCTTTCTTGCAGAGATATGAAAGAGTTGCCCAAATCAGAACTGGTAAAAGGTGACGAGGCGGTCTCTCTCAGCCCCCGTCTCACGGGAAAAGACCTACAAGTGTAAACAGGAATAACTTCAGAAGATGACATGGACTATGACAAGTTAAAAGTAGCATTGTGGAAATGCCATGAACTTACCAAAGAAGGTTTTGCTGGAAGATCTTAGAAGTCCAACCTGACACTGAAGAAGCTGTATTTCATTTTATGACAAGTATATAGCGATATTTCACAAGGTGAACTGACATAGTCAAGTGTAGAAATAGTTTTGAGGGACTGGCACATTTACTAACACATGCCACTGTTCCTAACGGAGATAGCACCAAAAACATGAACGAGATGATCAAGCTGGTAGAACAATATGTGGATGCCCATGAAGGGAGTATAATTGGGATGTCCGAGATTAAAGTTAGAGATTAATGTAAAAGTTGAAACCAGTGGTGTCTGACCAGAAACAGTATACCACCAAAGATGACAATAACTCAATGGACAAAAGGGAGAACAGATACTATGTTTGTTATAAAATGGGGTCACTTTCAAATGAGTACAATGAGTACCAATAAACAACAGAAGAATTTCAATATAAAGAAGCTTGAGCTACCTACAAAGACTGTGCAGGAAAGAAACAAGAAAAGAATGACTGTCACCATGGATGCTGCTGCCAAAGGAAACATAATAGAAAAAATTCATCAGATTCACCACGAGAAGAAATTGTTATCATCATGATTAAACAGTGCATGCTTCATGGTCAGCTCAAGTTAGCAAATGGGATGACAATGTGAATGGTAATTGGAGCATGTGGCAAACGTCGAGAAGTGCCAACAAACCACAGCATGCCAGTAGGTGCAAGCTATTTTGGGGACAAGTAAGTGAAGGTACTATGAGACACTGGGTGCAACAGTTTGAACCAGTCTAGTATCTGATGACCAGATGATGGGCAAGGTCCATCTGTGTGTGCTGATTGATGGGACAGTAAGAAAGTTTTCTATAGCAAGGATGAAGGTGGACACTCCATATTACGTGGGTTTAATTGATGTGTCAAAGGTAGGCTTTATTAATATATACTTATTAATGTATAAATGTCGTATGATTATTGAGTTCATCAATGTATTTATTGTTAGCTATATTCATGCATACAAGGTTATCTTTACTAATCTATAAATGATAGTATCATCTTTGGCTTTTTATTAGTGTGTTTATTTTTGGCGTCATCTATGGTATTATTTCTGCTATGAGACCCTTCTTACTTAAGCAACAAACTTACCCATCAGCGTCAGACGGAAGGTTATTAGGGTTCAAAAAGAATGTATGCAAGTTATTCATTAGAACTGGAGTGAAAGCCATCCCTGAAGACACTATTCCTGCCATGAGACCCTTATTGTTGGGGAACCACTGTAATTGATAAATGTTTAAGTATTAATTCTTAAATTTTTTAAGGTGATTTACTTTCAACAGATATTAATATTTAAACCAAAAAAAATAAGTTCAGAACTTGTAAATGAAAAGTGTGGGTTTTCTTGCCATACAAATATTTTCTTTGTACTTTGTGTCATTTTCATTTACATAGTGAAATAACCTCAAAACACACCATACACTAAAAATAACATCATTTTATAAATGAGTATATGTAACACTCATCAATAAATTTAATATTACAATAAATTTAATAGAAGAAAGCGTTTAATCGTTCTTAAATAGAATAGTTTTACTTCTTAGAAACCTTACTTTCTTATGTTTCTCCTTCTACTTGAATGAGTACATTATATTAAAACGATTTCGGAGCCTCACTACATCGTCCATATAACCACGTCTGGTCATGTTCTCTCTCTCTCTCTTATGACAGAGTATCTGAGCAATAGTCCTAGTGTAGTTTCCAAAGCACATTACTCCTTTCTAGATGCTTTTCATAATCTATCTAGAGAATAAGAACGGCAGCGTGTTTAATGGTCTGACTGGCGACTTCATTAGTACGTCAGCGAAAGGGGATAGCATAAATAACTGTTTCATTCTCCAAAAGCATACAGTATGCGACGGTTGAACTGATATGTCGTGAAAGCACGTCTTCTTTACACGTAACTTAAACAGAGGACACCGCATATAAAAATAACAGTTCAAAACATACATATTATAGCCGATTACTTGTTAGAACGACACAATATCCGGTTAAGCCTAAAAAAATTGAAGTGAAAAATGATATAATGCAGGGTTACAACACCAGAACGTATAAAGTTGATGTTCTAACCAATTAAACTTGTCATCTCTCGTTCACCATTGAATAACTAAAGTTGTCAATCCATTTATTACCCCTATTATTGGATGTGTCAGATCAGTTCAGAAAGTTTTTAAAATAACAATATGGATGTGCTTCTTGTGAGATACGCTTGAAAAAGTAACCTGGCATTACGTAAGAAAATTTCGAATACAACAGCAGGTAATTCGTTGGTTGTATTAATAGAGATTATGAGAAGTTATTAGATTTCTGAATCACAATAATAACTGATGAAGAAAACAACTTGCAGGTGGATCGCAAAGCGATTTATATTAACAAAGCCTAAAATTCAGCTGTAAATCAATAGTAATTTCAAGAATTAATCAGCTTTTCATCTTAAGAACCTAAACATGATTTGAGAAAAAAAAAAAGAGTAGGACTTACATTTATGTAAAACAGAATGTGTATTCTGTATTTATGGCAAAGCCACTAAAGCTATATGTTCCACCATTTAAATTGTTTAACTATTGATCAGAAATATAATAGCCAATCAGCAGCACCCTACCACCCACGAACCACGATAAGGCTGTTATTGCCCTAAACAAAGGCAACAAACACCAAAAACACCTAGCAAGTGGTGCAGACAACAACTCTAACAAAAATCGTCATAAAATGTTTTGTATTTTCTTTATCGTTCGACAGTTTTCTTAAATGCAGCATAAAGTTACACGTCATGTTAGAAGTTTTATCTAGGCAGAATGTACAGCACACACAAAAAGTAAAATATGCCATAGAATATTTATAAAGCACAACGGAGTACTATAAGAGGTTAGGTAGACGTTTTTACATATGAACGAAATAAGGTTGAACAAATATGACAGATAATTCATATAGTCTATTCTTTTATTTTAAAATTCTTGGACAAGTACTCAAAGTAAAAAAATGTTTTAGTAGAATAAAAACGAACAAAACACTGAAATCCATTTTTATAATTCATTCTGAAAAATAATGCAAGTAACATAACACTGAAATCCGTTTTTATAATTCATTCTGAAAAATAATGCAAGTAACAAAACACTGAAATCCATTTTTATAATTCATTCTGAAAAACAATGCAAGTAATAAAACACTGAAATCCATTTTTATAATTCATTCTGAAAAATAATGCAAGTAATAAAACACTGAAATACGTTTTTATAATTCATTCTGAAAAACAATGCAAGTAATAAAACACTGAAATCCATTTTTATAATTCATTCTGAAAAATAATGCAAGTAATAAAACACTGAAATCCATTTTTATAATTCATTCTGAAAAACAATGCAAGTAATAAAACACTGAAATCCATTTTTATAATTCATTCTGAAAAATAATGCAAGTGATAAAACACTGAAATACATTTTTATAATTCATTCTGAAAAATAATGCAAGTAATATAATATTGAAATCCATTTTTATAATTCATTCTGAAAAAATAATGCAAGTAATAAAACACTGAAATTTATTTTTATAATTCATTCTGAAAAATAATGCAAGTAATAAAACACTGAAATTCGTTTTTACAATTCATTCTGAAAACAATGCAAGTAATAAAACACTGAAATCCATTTTTATAATTCATTCTCAAAAATAATGCAAGTAATAAAACACCGAAATCAGTTTTTATAATTCATTCTCCAAAATAATGCAAGTAATAAAACACTGAAATCCATTTTTGTAATTCATTCTCAAAATTAATGCAAGTAATAAAACACTGAAGGTTTTAACAGAAAGACACATAAAATGGTCAGTGTTGTTGGGCTGTAGACTAACGGTTCTGGTGTTCAAGATGGTGGGCACAGTAACAGCTAACCAAGTCAAAGCCTATAGTCTACATAAAATCAAAGCCAAGTGTGTTTTTTTACAATGAACAATGCGAAACCCAACCACCAGAACCTCCTCCTCCCTTTCAAAGACCATAATGGAAACACGTGAATTAATAATTAGATTCCACAGAAGGTAAAGTGAATCTCATTATATACTAAAATCCAATTCGAGGGAACCTAGCCATTTACTCCACATGTCCTTCAAGTGCCATTCAGGTTGAAAATCCTATTTCTATAAGCAGTAAATGATCTCTCTATTCATTAATTACTTCATTTTCACTTTTAAAGATTCCTTATACGATCCGGTAGAGGCTGAGTGTATTCCAGATATGTTAACTCCTATACACTTGTTATTTTTTTATCTGCCACATTTTTATTCTAGCACAGCTGTTTTCAGTAAAGGGAATATTTTAATATATTATGTTTGACTATTCTACAAACCTCCATTGTTTGACTAGTTCTACATACCTGCATTGTTTGACTAGTTCTACATACCTCCATTGTTTGACTAGTTCTACATACCTCCATTGTTTGACTAGTTCTACATACCTCCATTGTTTGACTAGTTCTACATACCTCCATTGCTGCAACTAACGGAAAACCATAGCAACAGATAAATCCAACATTAACAACCACTCCTAAGGTTGCAGTCGTAGCTTCTAGACTGTGTTGTATAGTCCAATACGTTGCTGCTATTCCGAAACTAATGAGAAATAAAAGACGTAGGACATAATTTATTTTCAATGGTTAATGTTAAAAAAAAATACGTTCTGAACGTTTCTAGCATTTAATATCTTAAATAAAACATTTGGTCTATTTCTTATGTGTTATATTAGAAACTTTAATTATTATTTGGCAGTATCATTTCATATAATAACATATTGGGTTAACAGTTCATTATTATAAAATAAAATTAAATTTTAGTTTTACAAATAAGTATACAAAAGTGGCTACTTGGGTAGGCATAGCGTTAATCGTGAGACATTGAACAGTGGAATAAGGATTATATGAATATTGTATATTATTGGAAGCATGATATATCAGAAGAGGGAGCATATAGTGAATGATGTAAGTTATAGAAATAAAAAGGATGTGGATGATATTCATCAGTAGAATAAACATGATACTTATCAGTAAGTAATGACAATACCAGTGGATTAAGAAAAGTACCAATGATGACGTGTTTCATTTGAAGATACGAAAATACCGGAAGATTTGATGTTGTGTTTAAGATACGAGAACAAAGGACAAGGATTCTGATTATTATAGGTACATTTTTCTAATTATTGCTGATGGTTTCTGATTCTTACATTACAACTTTCCCGATCCTTGCTTTTATCAGTGACAACATTTCAGAACTATGCTGAGCACGCTTCTACGCCTACGCCAAAAATCTTGTTATCGCCATGCAAGCTAGCAGCTTTACCCACATAAAAAAAATCATATCTCAAGCACTAGCTTGAATGACCATATACTCCGTTTCCAACCAGCTCAAATCAAACCCCCGGAAAGACGCAGGTCAGCTTCTTTCTCCTGTGAAACAATGAGGTAAACAAATAGCTGAACATCGAATAAAATGCCACATAACTGGACTTTTGCCCACATCCAGTATATCTGAGAGTTACTCTCGACCACATCCTGAACACAATACATTCTAACCTACAAAGAACAAATCAGAAATATCAAAACCAAAGTTATATCCTGGAACAACATCATCAGGAAACTCACTAGCACAAACTAGGGGACTGACCCTACAACCATCAGGATCTCGACGCTTGCTACTTCTACGCTGAATACGCCAACCCGGTTTGGGAACGCTCAACTGATGCCAGAAAAACATTGGCTTTATGCTCAACGACAGCCAAAAAACATCACAGGCTGCCTAAAGTCAAGCAACACAAACAGCCGCTATATGCTGACTGAAATCGCCTCACCAGACATTAAGAGAACAGTAACCAGCAGAGCGAACTCGACAGATGCAACACAGTATATACTCTCTATGTGACCACTTGGAAGTACGGAAGCACGGGACATCACAGAATAATTTCTGTATTTCTACATAACCACAAGACACTAAGATAGATACGACGCCTCAAAGAGCCCCCACAAACAACCGCACCAGCTGAGCATCTCCGAAGTGGAGTGGAATTGGGCTGGAGTACCTGGAAAGCCTCCAATCGCCTATATTCCCAGGTCAACAGGGCCAACGGGGTGAAAGGGATTACTCCAGCGGACCCGCTGCCCACGACTTCAGTATGAGGCATTTACTCGTCTGCTCACAACTCCTATCCCCCAGTGGCACAGCGGCATGTCTACGGAGTTGCAACGCTAGAAACTAGGTTTTGGTACCTGTGGTGGGCAGAGCACAGATAGTTCATCGTGTAGCTTTGTGGTTAACTTCAAAACAAACTCACAACTTCACGTCACATGCATATCAAAAGACCTCTCTGTAGCCAGCTAACATGCAATCAGATGGGTGAAACCGTATAATGATAGGTGAACTGGACAAGAAGCTTTAGGCCTATTACTGATATCAAATATACATATATATTCGAATCCCTTATAGCGTTGGAGAATTATAACGTTACAGTGACTCCTACTCTTCGTTGGTAAAAGAGTAGCTCTAGAGTTGGCGGAGGTGGTTTTTTACTAGCTGCCTTCTATCCAGTCTATCACTGCTAAATTAGGGCCAGCTAGTGCAGATAGCCTTCGCGTAGCTTTGCCAAACCAGACACAATTTAATGATTACTAAAGATATTTTTATGATTACTATATTTTCATTATTGTGACTTTTTGGTTAAGTTTTGAAATTACTATATATAAAATTTTATTGTTATTACAGATAGTTTTCTGTTTGAGTAATAAAAAGTACAAAAACACCTTTTCTTGTAATGAAGGAGAATGTAATACTAATATATTTATAATTTTTTAGAAATTTCCCTTACCATTAATTACGGTAGTACTTATTAGTAGGGATTGACAAGAGAAAAATAGCTGCCGAAATGTGTGTGTGTGTGTGTGTATATACATTGCAACAGTATCAATATTTTAATATAATTCTCGACTATATTATGTAAGAAATTTTTATTTTCAAAAAGTATTAAAAATTGTATTCTTCAAAACTTTACACAATTTTAAAAACACAAAATATGACACTTAAAAGTGGTTCATGAACATGAATGATAGTTTTAATTAAAAAATAATATAATTGATTATTGATTATATTGAAAAAAGCCCACCAGTAGCATAGTGGTATGTCTGCGGACTTATACTGTTATAAACCGTGTTTCGATACCCCTGGTGGGCAGAGCACAGATAGTTCTTTGTGTAGCTTTGTGCTTAGTAACAAACAAGAACTTTGAAAAAAAAAAATCTTTTGCCGCTACTTTCCACGCGCTGGAGTACTGCATTCTCATATAGGATTACTTATTTCACGTGGCTAACGTGCAGATTTATTTTAGGATAATACACGTGATTATGAAATTTGTAGACTTGTTTGTTTTTAAACACAAACCTACACAACTAGCTATCTGTGCTATGTCCACCGCCAGAAGTGAATCCCGAATTCTAGTATTACAAAAGAGTTTTGGAAAAAACATAGAGTATGTTTAATTAAATCCATGAAATGGTTAGCAAGTATAAAAATAATTATTTTAGAATTATCAAAATACATACTTAAAACCCTCCTTAATTTTTATATTGCTACTTTAATGTTTAGTTTGCATTATCTTTTGAGATGTCATTACACTTATGAAACAAATAGGGAGTGTATTAACATTTAAATATCAAGAGCACAACATACATTCAGCAAACTTGTTATTTTATTGTCTGACATTGAATTCAATTTATTGTCTCACCTGAAAACAACAGAACCAATCAGGATGCTAGACCGATGTCCAATCCGTTCAGACAGCCAAACTCCACAGAAGAAGAATGAAATTAAACAGTCAGTTGTGTAGATAATCCAGGCAGTCTGTTCATATGTTATGTTATTGTCAACTCTTTTTCTGAAGTAAGACGTCACGTATGGAGTGATATTTCCAAAAAGATATATTATACCAAGACCAAGATAAATCAGAAAACACCCAGAAACTGCTACAAATGGACGAGCTTTCATTTCTAGAAACAACACAGGAAACAACTGACGCTATCCTAAAATACAAATAATGTGGTAATAATGAATTATACAATTAATCTTCTTGGAAAAACCCTGTATTTTAACAATAGACTTACAGTAACAATAGAGAAAATTGTTCGTAGGGTAAGAAATACACTTAATTATTGTCGATGTTTATTCAATGAAACAAACGTGCAAACATTTATCTAAAATGATATTATTTTTAAAAATGTATTACTATTAATCAAAACTAATATGTTTGTCAAAGAGTTTCAAAATAAGTTGTACATATTTTTTTCAACCCCAGCCTTTCGAACCACCCAAACTGTAGCTTATAAAGAAATAATTTCGAGCAGGAATACATCACATGCATGTCTAGTATGTTTATTCAATTTGTAAGAAAGAATAAGGCATTCGGCTAGTAATAGTGAAATTAGAGGTTCGATACAAGCTTTGTCCTTAAAAACTACCAGCGATGGGCTTTTTCTATAGGAACTCAAAGTTATAACTGATTATTTTAAAAACATTTTTTTTTATAATTTATAAACAGAAAGAAAATATTTGTGAATTTACTTATTTATATTTTGTTTACAAAAGTAACACGTATTGAGAAGTGTTGATACAAAAGTAGCACGAAGAGAAATTTTTAATTGGCAATATTTTCATATAATTAATATTTATTTTGTTGATCGAAATTCTCAAAGAAATATTACAAACATGCATCAGAAGAACTATACAGCTGCTACCCGTTAGAGAAAGAAAAATAGTCGTATACTTTTTAAAGGTAATTAACTCCTTTCTTTAGTTCAATATTATTTTGTTTTTTTAAATGTGTTCATAATTCAAAATCTGCAAACTATCGCCAAAAACAGTAATTTGAACAAATAGCTCTCCAGGCCGTGTTTATTCATCAGAAATTCAACGGTATTTTATTACACAAAGAACAAATAGTTTCTGAAATATGAAATCAGTTATAAGTATAAATTACCTAACAGTAATAGATCAGTTATAAGTATAAATTACCTAACAGTATTAGATCAGTTATAAGTATAGATTACCTAACAGTAATAGATCAGTTATAAGTATAAGTTACCTAACAGTATTAGATCAGTTATAAGTATAGATTACCTAACAGTATTAGATCAGTTATAAGTATAAGTTACCTAACAGTAATAGATCAGTTATAAGTATAAATTACCTAGCAGTAATAGATCAGTTATAAGTATAGATTACCTAACAGTATTAGATCAGTTATAAGTATAAGTTACCTAACAGTAATAGATCAGTTATAAGTATAGATTACCTAACAGTATTAGATCAGTTATAAGTATAAGTTACCTAACAGTAATAGATCAGTTATAAGTATAAATCTGAGTCTGAAATTCACTAAGAATGAAACTGAAACTCTGTGTATGTAACTGAGACAATGCTTAGTTTCAGACTATACGCAGAAGTCAGAAATGTGTGTGACATCAGCCAGTCTGGCAATCTCAAAGTAGAGAAGTTTGAACTACGTGTACGCTACATATTACATGATTACATCATCGGCGAAATTGTAATGCCGCTACTGTTTATAATATCACATGGACTTACTTCAGAATAAATTGTAGCGTGGGGAAGCTTGATTCCTCAAACTTCGACCAGTTAAAGTGGATGACCGTGTTTCCTAGAAGCGAACAAGCAGTACGTTCAGGACTGGAACTCTTTTCACAACATACAGGAACTCAGATCGAAGTTGACTTGTGTATAACATACAGATGAGATCCCCCTGTCGTAATGTTGACTGGAAGCCTATGGACACAATTAATGCGGCAGCTGAGAAAAGGACCATAAATACACAGCTGGTCCTCCACACTCACTGCTTGGATGTAATTAAACGAACACGAAGTGAACTTTCAATTGAACGTGTATTATATGTGTTACATATTAGTTCCTTCATGTTTAGCACTAAACAGAAAAAGTTGGATTATTCCAAGTACTTTTAATGCGATATGACTTACAGCTAGGGTAACTTTAATAAGTTTAACAAATAGAAACAAAACGATATTTATTGTTAATATACGTAAAACTGTGTTTGTTTTGTATAGAAAAATGTATTCATCTTGTAAATGCAACTTAATCTGGTCGTATATTTAACAGATGTATAAAACTTTAAGTATTTTACAGAAAGTGTACAAGTTGTTGTAAAATTACTTTCTATAAACCAATGACATGAGGAATGAATAAATTGAATTGAAAAAGAACGTTGTTAGATTATTCATCATAAGTGCACTGTGTAACACAAGTTTGAAAATTTTTAGTGGAAAATTGAATAATTTTATCATAGTGGTATTTTGATATTTCAAGGACAAACATAGACGTCAATCTCAAAAAGGGGTTCTTGAATCTAATGTGTAGAAGGACAGGTAGAGCGGTTTATTACAGGTGAAATGTAATAGAAAACATATGATGTTGAAGTCTTAATAAAGCAATAGACAGAAAAGGGACAGGTAACTGATCGTGATATCATGGTAAGAAACATAAAACAATCTGTATCTAAACTGACAGACGAAGTGAACAAACTTGACTTGAAAGTAAAGCGTTAAAGTGCACAACCACCAAGTAAAATATATTATAATAAAACACCCAATTATGTGGGTCAAAATTTGGATTGAATCTTAAGTGAAAACGCCAAAACTACTGTCACAACGTACATTCTCCCTGTAGCTGACCAATCACAAAAACAGAAAGATTTCTTCTTTATGGTGCAGTTGCAAGGTAAACCTCAAGCAGGGCAACAACCCAATGAAATAGTAAGTAAGTTGCATGTACCGTAAAAGAACGAAGGTTTCCCAAAGACTGTTTCAAGATAATATAAGTAGGATCCCCTTACTACACTATTCAAAAACCAAAAGATAGATTACAGCGTGTACAGTAATGAAAGCACCAGAGATTAGGACATACTTTGTAAAGTATTCACTGAAACAGAGGTTACGGTACAGCATGGTACAGTAATGATAGCCTCAAAGGTTAGGGTATACTTTGTAGAGTATTCACTGCAACAGAGGTTACGGTACAGCATTTACAGTAATGAAAGCACCAGAGGTTAGGGCATACTTTTAGAGTATTCACTGCAACAGAGGTTACGGTACAGCATGGTACAGTAATGACAGCACCAGAGGTTAGGGTATACTTTGTAGAGTATTCACTGCAACAGAGGTTACGGTACAGCATTTACAGTAATGACAGCACCAGAGGTTACTTTATACTTTGTAAAGTATTCACTGCAACAGAGGTTACGGTACAGCGTGTACAGTAATGATAGCCCCAGAGGTTAGGGTATGCTTTGTAGAGTATTCACTGCAACAGAGGTTACGGTACAGCATTTACAGTAATGACAGCACCAGAGGTTAGGGTATACTTTGTAAAGTATTCACTGCAACAGAGGTTACGGTACAGCATGGTACAGTAATGACAGCACCAGAGGTTAGGGCATACTTTGTAAAGTATTCACTGCAACAGAGGTTACGGTACAGCATTTACAGTAATGATAGCCCCAGAGGTTAGGGTATGCTTTGTAGAGTATTCACTGCAACAGAGGTTACGGTACAGCATTTACAGTAATGATAGCCCCAGAGATTAGGGCATACTTTGTAAAGTATTCACTGCAACAGAGGTTACGGTACAGCATGTACAGTAATGACAGCACCAGAGGTTAGGGTATACTTTGTAGAGTATTCACTGCAACAGAGGTTACGGTACAGCGTGTACAGTAATGACAGCACTACAGATTAGGGCAGTTGTAGAGTATTCACTGCAAGAGGCTACGGTACAGCATGTACAGTAATGACAGCACTACGGATTATGGTAGTTGTAGAGTATTCATTGCAACAGAGGCTACGGTACAGCATGATACAGTAATGAGAGCACTACAGATTATGGTAGTTGTATAGTGTTCACTGCAACAGAGGTTACGGTACAGCATGGTACAGTAATGATAGCCTCAGAGGTTAGGGTATACTTTGTAGAGTATTCACTGCAATAGATGATACGGTACAGCATGTACAGTAATGACAGCACTACAGATTAGGGTAGTTGTAGAGTATACACTGCAAGAGGCTACAGTACAGCATGGTACAGTAATGACAGCACTACAGGTTATGGTAGTTGTAGAGTGTTCACTGCAACAGAGGTTACGGTACAGCATAGTACAGTAATGATAGCCTCAGAGGTTACGGTACAGCATGTACAGTAATGACAGCACTTACTAAACAAAATTGAAGGTAAAGTTTTTTAACATTATCCATTGCATCAGAGTTAAGTTACAGTTGGTACAGTATTCAGAGACTAGGACCCAATCTGTTCACTATGTACTGCACCAGAAGGAAGTCTATGGTTTACGAAGTATTCAATGCACTAGATGTATAGTTGGTACAGTTTTCACTTCGACTAGTTTATATTAGAGTGTGTACATCATTCAACATACCATAAGTTAGGGCACAGTTTGTACAGTATTCACGAATTTAAAGGTTAGGTTACAGATTGCCCCAGGTATAAAGTACGCTTTGGTCAGTATTGACTGTTAGAGTTTGTACAGCGATTACTGCTCTTTACGTTATTTCAGATTTTGTAGAATATATACCGCATCAAAGGTTAGGGTACAGTTGGTACAGTAGTGACAACAGCAGAGGTTAAGGTAGAGGTGGCACAGTACTGACTGTACCAAATGTTAGGGTAAAATTGGTACGGTAATGACTGCACCAGAGGCTAGGGGATATTTGGTACAGTAGTTTCTGCACCAGAGGTTAGGGTACATGTTGTTAAGTTTTTATTGCACCAAGACTAGTACGTATACAGTTGTACATTATTTATAAAGCCACAGGTTAGGTTACAGTTTGGAGAGTATTCACAACACCATAGGTTGTGATATTAACGTACATTTGTATATCATTCATTGTAGCAGAAGATGGGATACAGTTTCTACAGAATTCAATACACCAGAAGTAGGTTTACCTCAACAATCCTGAAGTTATTATTGGTTTACTTACACAATCCTGATGTTATTATTGGTTTATCTGCACAAACCTTAAGTTATTATTGGCTTAATTACGGAAATCTTAACCTATTTTTGGCTTAATTACACAATACTGATGTTATTATTGGCTTAATTACACAATACTGATGCTACTATTGGTTTATCTACACAAATATTAAGTTATTATTGGTTTAACTCAACAATTAATTACACAATACTGATGTTATTATTGGTTTATGTACACAAACCTGATGTTATTATTAGTTTACTACACAACCCTGAAATTATTGTTGGTTTACTTACACAATATTGATTGCATTATTGGTTTACTTACACAATTCTGAAGTTTAACTGATTTGCTAACACAGTCCTCAAGATTTGAATGTTTTTCTTGAAAAGTGGTTTATGTAAGTTTCGAACTTCTTATTTACACAGTCCTTAAATTCCTAATTGTTTACTTAGATGGTGCTAAAGTTTTTAGTCGTTTACTTACACATTCCTGAAGTTATCACTGATTTATTCTGCCGTCCTGAAATTATTATTGCTTTACTCTCTCAGTCATGAAGCTATTTCTGGTGTGCTCTGACAGTACCAAAGTTATTATTGATTTACGTACAAAGTCATGATGTTAATATTAATTTACTTACACTGTCCTGAAGTTCTTATTGGTTTACTACTACAGTCCTGAAGTTGTTATTGATATAATTTCACAGTCCTGAAGTGGTTATTGATTTAATTTCACAGTTCTGAAGATATTACTGGTTTACTTTCACAATCCTGAAGTTATTACTGGTTTACTTTCAGAGTCCTGAAGTTATTACTGGTTTACTTTCAGAGTCCTGAAGTTATTACTGGTTTACTTTCACAGTCCTGAAGTTATTACTGGCTTACTTTCACAGTCCTGAAGTTATTACTGGTTTACTTTCACAAACCTGAAGTTATTACTGGTTTACTTTCACAATCCTGAAGTTATTACTGGTTTACTTTCACAATCCTGAAGTTATAACTGGTTTACTTTCACAGTTCTGAAGTTATTACTGGTTTCCTTTAACAGCCCTGAAGTTGTTATTGGTTTACTGACATAATTCTAAACTTCTTAAAAAGTGTTAACATTACTCAGTTCTCAAGTTGATATTGGTTTTCCAGGACAAATATTAGATCACCAGTCTGTATATTTCCTCCTTCCAATACACTAAATTCCTCTACCTTTATACGAATGAAAGATATATCTATCTACGGTATTATGAAAACGTTCGAAGTTTGTACACGAAGATCGTTGATACGTCACCAGCAGTTGGTTTTGTTCGAATGTACATACACTAAATACTTATTAACTGCTTATCTGAAACAGGTGTTGAAAAACAAGTTTATAGATTTTTCGTATTTCTATTCTACCAACAGTACAAAGAGATATGTTGTAAAGTATATGTATAAATATTCTTCACGTATTTCTGCTTCATAATGTTTAAGTTGCACTAATATATTTTTCTTTCTTTTTGACTGAGTTTACGCCCACTTGTACATCTTCTTCGTCTATTTCTACTTACTGCATGTGGAAAGAAGTTGTACACCTTTTCTATTCATTTCTTTTGTCAACGAAAGCCCAAATTTGGAAAATTAAATCACCTGTTTCTACTCCACTACATACGTCACAAGATGAATGTCTCCTTCATCTATTTCTACTCCACTACTTACGCCCCAAGATGCACCACCTGTTTCACCTGTTTCTACTCCACTACTTACGCCCCAAGATGCACCACCTGTTTCACCTGTCTCTACTCCACTACTTACGCCCCAAGATGCACCACCTGTTTCACCTGTCTCTACTCCACTACTTACGCCCCAAGATGTACCACCTGCGTCACGTGTTTATACTCCACTACTTACGCCTCAAGATGCACCACCTGTTTCTACTCCACTACTTACGCCCCAAGACGCACCACCTGTTTCACCTGTTTCTACTCCACTACTTACACCCCAAGACGCACCACCTGTTTCACCTGTTTCTACTCCACTACTTACGCCCCAAGATGTACCACCTGCTTCACGTGTTTCTACTCCACTACTTACGCCCCAAGATGCACCACCTGTTTCACCTGTTTCTACTCCACTACTTACGCCCCAAGATGCACCACCTGTTTCACCTCTTTCTACTCCACTACTTACGCCCCAAGATGCACCACCTGTTTCACCTGTTTCTACTCCACTACTTACGCCCCAAGATGCACCACCTGTTTCACCTCTTTCTACTCCACTACTTACACCCCAAGATGCACCACCTGTTTCACTTGTCTCTACTCCACTACTTACGCCCCAAAATGCGCCATCTCCTTGATCCGTTTCTACTCCACTATTGTTGCCTCCAGTTGAACAAGTGATGACTTTTATCTTTTTTAATCAAAGTGTTAGGTTGTACTGCAGGTTAAAATGTTGCTTTTAGAAATTATATAAGTTGTGGTGTATTAAAGTAACAAAATAATTTGTTTATTTCACCCCTTGATCTTTTATCTAATAACGAGATAACCAAACTGGCAAAAAAAACACACCAAAAAAACAATAATATTAGTCGATAAATAAATATAGGTTTCCTTTCAGTTAACCAGTACTAAATATATTCACACAGGTAGTTTTAGTGGGGCATATATAGTGGGGTAGCAACGGGTGAAGTAAGTGATGCATCTTGGGGCATATATAGTGGGGTAGTGATGTAGAAACAGATGAAGGATTTTTAGACCAACATGTAGTTAATAATAGTTATCAGACCAACATGTAGTTAACAATAGTTATTAGACCAACATGTAGTTAATAATAGTTATTAGACCAACATGTAGTTAATAATAGTTATTAGACCAACATTTAGTTAATAGTAATTATTAGACCAACATGTAGTTAATAGTAGTTATTAGACCAACATGTAGTTAATAATAGTTATTAGACCAACATTTAGTTAATAGTAGTTATTAGACCA